CCCCGCCCCGGAGCCCCGACCCCACACTTACACACCGGCACACCACGCAGTCCCGCCCGCCCCCCTCGGCCCGGCGGCCGACGGCACCGAGCCCCCCTTCACCTATGACTCCCTGCGCCGGACCATCCCCCGGCACTGCTTCGAGCGGTCGCTCGCCCGGTCGCTCGGCTACCTGGCCGTGGACCTGGCCTACGTCGTGGTCCAGACCCTGGCCTTCCTCTGGGTGGACCGGCGCCTGGCCGGCTACAGCGACCTCCTCTCGTGGGGCCTCTGGACCGCCTGCTTCCTGACCTACACCTTCCTCCAGGGCGTGGCCTTCACCTCGATCTGGGTGCTGGCCCACGAGTGCGGCCACCAGGCCTTCTCCCCGTCGGCCGTGGCCAACGACACCATCGGCTTCATCCTGCACACCATGCTCTTCGTGCCGTACTTCAGCTGGCAGCGCACCCACAACACCCACCACAAGTACACCAACAACCTGCAGAAGGACGAGGTGTTCGTCCCGCTGGTTGCCCGCCAGGAGACCGACGTCCAGCAGGCGGCCAATCTCTCCCGCCGCGGGGACATCCAGACCACCCTGCAGCTGGCCGCCATGCTGATCCTCGGCTGGCCGCTCTACCTGCTGTACAATGCCACCGGCCACAAGACCGAGGGCTTTGCCTCGCACTACCTGCCCTCCTCCGAGATCTTCCTCCCCCGCGATCGGCCCTTCGTCATCCTCAGCAACATCGGCCTGCTGGCCTGGGTGGCCGCCCTCGGCGCCTTCGCCATGCTCACCCCGGCCGGCTGGACCGACATCCTGAAGTTCTACCTCCCGGCCCTCATGGTCAACTATGCCTTCCTGGTGGCCATCACCTTCCTCCAGCACACCGACCGCACCCTGGCCCACTTCGACCATGAGGACTGGAACTACCTCCGCGGCGCCCTCAGCACCATCGACCGCACCATGTCCCCCTGGCTCGATCGCCGCCTGCACCACATCCACACCACCCACGTCAGCCACCACCTCTTCAGCAAGATCCCCTTCTACCATGCCGGCGAGGCCACGGTCGCCCTGCGCAAGGCCCTCGGCCCCTACTACGCCAGCGACTTCGAGACCCCCTTCCTGGTGGCGCTCTTCCGCAACTTCCGCGACCTCAACTACAAGCAGAACACCCAGGGCACCTTCTGGTGGCTGGAGACCCATCTGCTGGACTAGAGTCCCCCCCCCGGCGGCGTGTGTGTGTGACAACACACATGGGGCGGGGCGCCGGCGCCGGAGCCGACGAGGGATCTCCCCCTCGCGCGCGCGCGCGTGTGTGTGTGTACCCGTGCTCCGCGCCTCACCCCGAGAGGGGGAGGCCGGGCACCCGGGCACTGCCCCCTGCCCGCTCTTCTCTCCGGGCTTCCGGCGCGCCGATGTGCCCCCCCCCCCCCACCCCCCTCCCTTGGGCCAGGCATGCGTGATTGTCCTGTTGCTGCCCTGCCTCCCCTCGTACGAGGGGGGGCGTCGGGCGAGAGAGAGCCGGCATGGCGAGAAGGGGGCGCGCAGCGAGAGGGCCCGTGCCGGCATGTGCACGTGCACGTGCATCTCCCCGCGCCGCCCCCATCCCTCCCTCTTTCTCTCTCTTTCTCTTTGCGCAGCGGCAAACACGCATGCATCATCCCCCTCCCCCCCCCCCCCCCCTTTCTCCCTCGCCGCTCCCGAGGGACAATAGAGTGCTTCTCCCCTTTCTCTTCGAAAAGTATGCTTGTGTCGCTGCGGTGGGTGTTTTGGCGCCGGTGCTGTGTCCCCCGCCGCGCCGTCTCCTGGGCCAGGAGAGGGGGCGAGGCTATGTCCTTCTTTCCCTTGCGCGCCCCGCCCACTGGAGGGGGGGGAATGTGCCCCGGCGCAAGCGACAAAGGCCCGCCCGTGACTTCCCTCGCCGCTCCAAGAAGAAAAAGACACACAAAAACCCACCTCTTATGTGTAGCTGCTCTATAGGGGGGGGGGGGGGGAGGGATGCGTCGCTTACACGGGAGGAAAGCATGGGAAAACAGGGAAGACAACGCGTGCGCATGGCGCCCGCCCGCCACACAGCACAAGGGACAGGGAGGGGGGGAGGAGGGCCACCCGAGGAGGAGACCCCACGCAGACAGGGCCGCCCGCCATCCCCCCTTAGAAGGGATTCCTCCGCGGGGCCGGGCGGGGCCGCGAGGCGAAACTCGACGGGGCCCGCCGCGACATGGCCGGCGCCGGCTGCTCGGCCAGCACCACGGCCGGACGCTGCTCGGCTTGTGGTGACATCGGGGCCGCCGCCGCCGCCGCCGCCGCCGCCGGTGACTCCGGCAAGCCGCCCCACACGCACACCCGGCCGTCCTCGCCGCCGGTGATGATGCGGTCCGCCCCGAGCCAGGCCACCGCGCGCACATGGTCCTCATGGCCACCGGCCAGGCGCAGAACCTGCCGCACGCCAGCCGGCTGGGTCGGATCCAGCGCCAGCCCGGCCAGCGTCCCGTCGCCCTCGGTGCCCAGCAGCAGCAGCCCCGGCCCGAGGAGGCCCCCGGCCCCGGCGGCACCCCCTTCCCCGGGGGCCACATACGTCCGGTGGGTGAAGCCAATCAGCGAGTTGACCGCAGCACCGGCGGTGCGGGCGCGCGCCCGCACATCCGGCCAATCCACGGCCAGGGCCGCCGTGTCCACGGACCACAGCCCGGCCGTTTCGGCGTGGCTGGTCACCGCCAAGGCCAGGGGGGCCCCCCCGGCGGCCATGCCCCCGGGCCCCGGCACCCGGGCAAACTCCGCCATGGCCGGGCTCTGCCGGGTGTTCAGCACGCACTCCACCGACTCCTCCTCCACCGACCGGGCCCCGGCATTCAGCACAAAGGCCGACACCAGACCATCCTCGGCGCACGAGAGGAAGACATTGGCCGCGCGCGGGTGGCACCGGATGGCCGTCACCTCGTCCGTGTGCGACTCGCCGAAGGTGGCCATCGGCTTCGGGGGGGCGCCGCCGGCCGCCATCCGCACGTCCCACAGGCACACCGGCGCACTGCACAGGTCCATGTCCACCGGCGAGCCGGTGACCAGCATATGCCCGCCGGCCGCCACATCGAAGGCCGTCACGCCGCCCGGCCGCCAGGCCACGCACACGCGCCCGCCCTCGCTCGGCGGTGCCCGCAGGTCCCACATCCGCACGGCCCCATCGGTCCCGGCCGTGGCGAACACCAGCCACGGGATGTCGGCCACGGCATCGGCCACGCCGGCATCCCCGGCGGCCCCGGCCTCGGCCAGGCTGCCGGCCACCTCGATGGCTCCGGCCTCCGCCCGGCCAAACCGGAACCCCTGGGCACCGGGAACATGCAGCGCCGTGGCCAGGCCCATGCCACCGGGCGCCGCGCAGTCGTACAGGCTGATGGTTTCGGTGCTGGTCAGGACGCCGGCCCGCGCGCTGCCGGCCGCCACCCGCACATCCAGGATGTATGTCCCGGCCCGCGCGTCTGGCACCGCGGTCTCCAGCAGCCCGTGCGTGCTGGGACCGGCCACGGGGCCGGCTTCCTCGCCGATGGAGAAGGGATCCATGCTGTGTTGGGGGAGAGGGGCAGAGGGAGGGGGGGGGGAGAGAGGGAGAGAGAGAGAGAGAGAGAGAGAGAAAGGCGAAGAAAGGAAGATGGAGAGGGAGGTAGGGGGGAGTGGCAATGGATCGTGGCCCGCTCGCCGCCCTCGCCGGGGGGGCTCTTGTCCGGCGGGGCGCACATGCGTGCGATCCGGCATGCGCCTGCCCGCGCGTGCCTCTCTCCGCCAGGCACGGGGAGAGCCAGGGGGGGGGGGGGGGGCCGAGCCGGGCGCACGCTTCCCCGCGTGCGTGGCTCCGGGCCCCTCTCTCCCGCCGATGCGCCCCCAGCTAGCCGGCCCCGCGCCCCGGCCCGGACCGGCGCCGGCCTCGGGCGCGCGTGCTTCGGCGAACGAAAGACCCCGGGACCCGCCGCGTGTGCGGCAGGGGTCCCCACGGATCCGGCCCCACTCAAAATAGCGGGGCTTTGACGGAAGCCATACCGGAAATCCGCCACACCCGTGTGGCGTGATCCCTCGTCCACATGCCACCGCTCTCGACATGCCAACGAATGGCCGGCTCTGCCACCTGGCCCGCCGCGCCACAGCCAGCGAACAGGCCGGGCGCGGGCGCGGGCGCGGGGGGGAACAACGCGACCCAAAGCACCCCCGCCCGCCCCCGGGAGCCGTGTGCCAGGAAGCCCCGCACATTTCGCTGATCAAACCGAGGGGGGCGGGAAAGAGGGTTGGGTCTCCCTCCCCCCCCCGTCATGCCTCGGCCGCGGCCGGGGCCGAGGGGGGAGATCGGAAGAGCACACGTGCACCCCCGCCCGCCCCCGGGAGCCGTGTGCCAGGAAGCCCCGCACATTTCGCTGATCAAACCGAGGGGGGCGGGAAAGAGGGTTGGGTCCCCCTCCCCCCCCCGTCATGCCTCGGCCGCGGCCGGGGCCGAGGGGGGGGGGGGGAGCAGCTGCTCGGCCCTCTGTGGAGCACGGGCTGCGGCGGGGACCGCTGCCGCCGGCGTCCGCCAGCCGGGGCGGAACGCCGCCGATCCCCTTGCCCGGCCCGCTCGGTTCTTGAGATGGCCGTCTCGGCAGGGGCGCCAGGCCGGCGCTTCCCCGGC